ATTACAGGGTGAAGAGGTGAAGAAGGTACAGGAGTTTAAGTACTTGGGGTCAACAGTCCAGAGTAATGGAGAGTGTGGGAAAGAGGTAAAGAAGCGAGTGCAGGCAGGTTGGAATGGGTGGAGAAAGGTGTCGGGAGTTCTGTGTGACAGAAAAATATCAGCGAGAATCAAGGGGAAGGTGTACAAGACAGTGGTGAGAGCGGCCATGCTGTATGGTTTAGAGACAGTGTCACTGAGGAAGAGACAGGAGTCAGAGCTAGAGGTCGCAGAGCTGAAGATGTTGAGGTTCTCTTTGGGAGTGACGAGGTTGGACAGGATTAGGAACGAGTACATCAGAGGGACAGCTCATGTTGGACGTTTGGGGGACAAAGTTAGGGAGGCCAGATTAAGATAGTTTGGACATGTTCAGAGGAGGGAGAGTGAGTATATTGGTAGGAGAATGTTGGACATGGAGCTGCCAGGCAGGAGGCGAAGAGGAAGACCAAAGAGGAGGTATATGGAGGTAATAAATGAGGATATGAAGCTAGTGGGTACAAGGGTTGAGGATGCAGAAGATAGGGATAGGTGGAGAGTGATGATTCGCTGTGGCGACCCCTGAAGGGAAAAGCCGAAAGAAGAAAAAGATGTTTATGCATTTCCAGTCCGATTGTAATGAATGCATGTAATGAGGAATATTGCTTAGCTTACCACCTGGACATAAATACAGAAAATAAATTCAAATAGTAAACATATTTTTTCCCCAGTTTTTCCCCTTAATTTGATTGCCATCCAATTCCCAACCCCCAGCCAACACTCCCCATCATACAACATCTACCAACCTGGGAAGGGTGAAGGCTAACACGTGCTTCCTCTGAGACACATGAAGCCAACCAACCGCATCTGTTCGTGCTGCATCACACCATAGTGAAGGAAAGCGCTATCCACCCTCTTCTGCATACATGAGCTCACAGACACACACGGTTGTCTAGTGTCCGTGTGATTAATAAAAAGGGGAGCATTGCTCTCCCAACAAAAGGTTAAAAACTCTTTCAAGTGACCAGTCGATTAGGTTTAGAAATATTAAATATAACTCACAGCTTCAGGGTCCCCGGTTTGAGCCTGAGCTCAGGTTACTGTCTGTGTGGATTTTCTGTGCATGTTGTCCTCGTGTTCACATGGGTTTCCTCTGGGTTCTCTGGTTTCCGCCCAAAAATGAAAACATGCTGTTAGACGGATTGGCTATGCTACGCTGCCGCTAGGTGTGAATGAGTGTGTGAGTGTGTGTGTGCACGATACCCTGTGATGTAATAGCATCCCATCCAGGGTGTCTTCATGCCTCACACTCAGTGTTCCCAGGGTAGACTCCGGATCCATCGCATCCCTGACCAGAATAAAACGGCTACTGAAGATGAGTGAATGAATGAGTGAGTATAAATAATCACAACAGTTCAGACTGCAATTATTTAAATATTTCGCTGTTGTAGGCTTTACTGAAAAGGACGCAGACGAAATCAAGGGCATATTTGTGGACACCAATCTCTACTTCCTCGCCCTGACCTTCTTTGTCGCTGCCTTTCATGTAAGCAGATTTCTAACATGTCTTACATTTGAAGCTGTCTTTTAAATCATTGGAAAGAAAGTAGTTGATTTAGTGCGATGCATTTAAACATTGATGTACTTCTCAGCTCTTATTTGACTTCCTGGCGTTCAAAAATGATATCAGCTTTTGGAAGCAGAAGAAGAGCATGGTGGGAATGTCCAGCAAAGCAGGTGACACAGTTACTTACTTTTTTTAAGTGACATTTTCCTGTAGCATAGAGCACGTGTTAGCGGCTTTATTAGCACTGATGTTAATAAGACCGTGTGCTTTCCCAGTGCTGTGGAGGTGTTTCAGCACTCTAGTGATTTTCCTCTACCTGCTCGATGAACAGACGAGCCTGCTGGTGCTCATCCCTGCTGGCATAGGATCTCTGATCGAGGTACATCCAAACAACACAGCAACACTAATAAAAATCAGTTTGGCAAAAATAAATAAATCAATTTACCCACATTTCCCCTAAATCCTATATCAGAACCTTTCTGATGTAATGGAATGCATTTTGATGTTTTATGCCTGAAGAAAGACTAATTATGTGCATTAAATATACTAAAAATGTGATCAAGCATGAAGTGATTCTAATACAGTAAACATTATCATCTTTATTAATCTGGTTTTCTGTTACAGGTGTGGAAAGTGAAGAAAGCCTTCAAAATCTTCATTTTCTGGAAGGGGCTTACTCCAACTTTCATGGTGAGAGTGTAGATTTCTTTCCGGGATACAAGTGCATGATATTTGTCCACAAGGCTTCGTTTCAGATTTAAATATCTGCCTTTTATAATTGATATTAAAATTTGTCTTTCAGTTCGGCAAATCCGACGAATCCGAGAGAAGAACGGAGGAATATGACAGTTTGGTAAGAAGAGATTTACTCAGAGATGTAGGTGTGCCGTATGTAATATGTTAAATGTTTTTTAGAGCTCATGGTGTTGCTGTGTATGCTGGTTGTTCTCCACAGGCGATGAAATATCTGTCCTACCTGCTGTATCCACTGTGTGTGGGTGGAGCCATTTATGCACTTGTATTTGTGAAGTATAAAAGGTACAGTTCTTTAGCATTGCTGCTGATATGCTCAGAGGTGCCAACATTTACGGTAGCTTTTATGGATTTTGATCCCTGATTTTTGCTGGAAACACCAGATTTTCGCTTTGCTGTTCTCTTTCTGTTGCTTGGGTCACATTGATAAAACATTAGCTGTCTCTTCAACCGCAATGCACCGCAAGGATATTTGTAGTATAAGTTTTTTTCTCTCTGCCTGCAAGGATTTTCTTGTTATTAATATTGGCACCTCTGTATGCTGAACATGTTTAAGAGTTTCACTCCTTTCACCTGGGTTTAACTCCGAGTGTTTTCTCCTGTTAACAGTTGGTACTCCTGGCTGATCAACAGTTTAGTCAATGGT